TTGTTGCAGCCACTGTGAAAATCCATCTTGCCAAGGGCCTTCCTCTTTTTGGCTGCTCCTCTACTTTACCAAACATGATGCCCTCCAGGGACATCTCTCCTGACATATCTGCGTTACTGAAGCTCCCAAGGATACTTCGCTGGAGCTGTCCGTCAAAACTGCCACAGTGCTCATTCTCTGTGCATCAACCCTACCACTCTTTGATGTACAATACACAGTAGGCCATTTTAGCAGGGCCTCCCTTAAATGCAGATAACACACATTAACAAAAGACATTTCCCTAAAGGAGACAGAAGGAAACAGTTGGATGTGTTAGCAGGAAGCAGGAGCACCTGACCCTTCCAAGTGGACGCATCCTTGCACTGAATAAGGACAGGGACTCTGTAGCTCCCTAAGGGGCCCTGGTGGTACAATGGGTAAGCACTAGTCAGAAGGTTTGTGCTTCTAAGGAAAGGAGAAGAGCCCTGACTAGCTTCCCCCTAAACATTATAGCCTAGGAAACCAAGTGAGTTCTAGTCTGTCCTATAGAGTTGCTATGAACTGGACTCCACTCAACAGCACACAACAACATAGACTGGACAGACAAGCAATGAAGAATTTCCAGTACAGGCATGTAGAGAAGCAGAGGCATGATACCATATGAAGTCTGAGAACTCCAATGGCTAAAATATAGAGTATGTGTGGGGAACTGAATTGTAGAACAAGCAAATCGGTCTTTGAAGACTTATAACCAGAGTATTCCTTAGAAGCAAGTATGACGAGATTCAACTCACTTACTTTGGACATGTCATCAGGTAAATCCAAACCTCAGAAAAGGATAGCAAGCTTGGTAACATAAAAAGCGAAATAAAGCAAAAACCAAGGGAGAAAGACGGAGCTTTCTACTTAAGGTTTACTCACCGAGGCAGTTCTATTCTGTCCTGCAGTTCGCTCTGAGCTGGGAACAACTCTCCGGCAGCAAGGTTGACTGTATAGGGGTTTCAAGGTTGTGGCCTTTCAAAGCGCCTGAGTGAGTAGATTCAAAACACTCATCGTCAGTTACCAAGACTAATTGTTAAAGTACCTATTACCAATGAGTTTATTCTGACTCACAGCACCCCTACGTAGGGTTTCTAAAACTGTAACTCAGTGGTTCTCAACCTTCCTAATGCCACGACCCTTTAATACAGTTCCTCATGTTGTGGTGACCCCCAACCATAAAATTATTTCCATTGTTACTTCATAACTGTAATTTTGCTACTGTTA